CCTACTATATGTTTCTTTCTTGTCCAAAAGGCATTGGGAAGATCACTACAAATTTCTGTTTCTATTTGAGTCCGAAGATTATTAATTTTTGTTATTATCTCAGAGTTTTCTAAGTCTTCTTCTATTTGTTTATATTTTATTTCTATTTTAAGGGAACATAAAAACTTTTCTTTATTATCTATTTTGTCTTTGACTCTATTTATTTCTTTAAGTTTTGGTTTTTCTAAAAATTCAAACTTAATTGTTTGTCATACTCTAGATGTTTCTATTCTTGTATTATTAATTGTTATGGGATATAGTAAGGTTAGGAATGAAATTCCAAGTATGACTGCCTGACTTAAGTTTTTTACCATAATAAAAGGTGTTGAAAAACAGTGTCCATTATTACATACCATGGCATTTGATAATTTGTATTTAATAAATAATCTACTACCATCAGCAGTATTAAGTATTTGAGTAGTTTTATCAAAATATTTTGATGGAACTAAACCTTCATTAATACAATTTAAATCTGCACCTGAATCTACTAAAGCTAGTGTTTGAAAATTATATTCTTCTTCAATGACAATTTTTATTAATATAAACCATTTTTGGGAAATAATTTTATTTACTAAGTTTGCAGATATATTTTCTTCAACTTCTTTGGTTCTAGAGGTTTTTGGTTCTTTATCACTAGGATCTGCTAGTTGATCGAATTCGATTTCTTCTGTATCAGTTACAGTTCCTGATATGTCATTTTGTAATTCTAATATTTTGATTCTAGTTTTTAATTGTCCTACTTCTGTTTTTATTTCATTTACTTCTTTTTTTTAATTCAAATATTGTGGGTTCTCTTTGAAGTATATCTTTTTTATTAATTCGTTTGAGTATTTCAGCAAAATTGTAATCCTCTGGTGGTTTGAGTAATGGAACTGGTTTATGTTTTGCTTTTATTAATGTGATAAATTGGGTAATAATTTCCCTCTTTTCTTCTGGATCATTTATTTTTTCTATTAGATCTAATATTAATGTATCTTCTTTAGATAGCATATTACATGAACATTCTTCTATATTCTGTTCAGATTCAGATTGTTCTGTTGAGGACATGAAATAATCTTCATCTTCTATTTGTTCTACCATTGTAGTATCAGTGGAAGATTCAGAAGAATTATCATCATCATATATTTGTATTATATCATATAGTTTATTTCTAATAGATTCTTCTAAGATTATAATATCTATTTTCTTTTTTATTTTACATTGGCTTTTATAATGACCAATTTTTCCGCATTTATAACATACAGATAATTTCCTTTTACCTCTATGGTACTTGTATTTTGGAGAGAATCTTTTTATGAATTTTTCTTTTTTATGTTTTTTATAAGATTTCTTTTCTTTTCTCTTTGTCTTATATCTTTTCTTTTTATGAAATTTATCTCTAGATTTCTCTATATGATATCCGAATTATTCACAGAAATCTCCTAATTCTTTTTTACCAGTCATTTTTTGTTTATCTAATTGTTTTTTTAATTTCATGTCTATACATAGGGCTAATCCTTCTGCACATATTTCTACAGATAATTCTCCTAATGTATAAACAGAATATGATATTATTCCTCCATTTTTATTTTTTAATCTAGTTTTTACCTTTTCTACAAATAAATATGGTAATCCAGCAATAAATTTTTCTTTCCAATGATCCTGCTGTCTATCTTCTCTACTTAATAGTCTGGAAAAGAAAACATCTTTGTACCATTTATAATGGGATAGGGTTGGACATCTTAAATTAGATAACAAATCTTCAGATCGGGCTTCAAGTAAGGCTGTACTCCCCACAAAATGAAGTGTGATGGTGTAAATGAGAGTATTAACAGCATCACTTTCGGAATATAGGACGTCTTGATTATTTTCATTTTTAACAGTCCACTGGTGAGTATTATTCAAAATTTGTTGTTTTGTATTTTCAGGTAAGTGGAAATCCCACCAACCTCGAAGCCATCCTGTGAAACCACAAACAATGGCTTTGACGACCTCTTGATCATGGTTGCCTACCATTTTGCACGTAGAGGCATACATGGTCATATATTTCATCGTGTCTAATATTTGTTGTTCAGATAATCCATCTATATTCCAATTTACTATTGATCTTCCTGAATAGGAAATATTCTGGGCTATCAAATCTTCTTCGAATTGTATATCAACAGGGGTAGGTCTATGATGATAGGGCCTAGCTGTTAAAGGTTTCCATGATTTTCCATATACTATTCTTTGAATATTATTATTATCTTGTTCCTGACTATTTTCCGTAAAGGCTTCTTCCATATTTTCTATTGTGTTAGCAATTATGGGTGTCTCTTCTTGTAAGGTTAATGTAGATGATTCAGGGATTTCTGTAGAAATTTTCTCTTTTTCTTTGTCCTGAATTTTTAAAGTTTTTTCTTTAATTTCTAATTTAGATAATTTTGATATTAATTGGTCCATTAGGGTTTTATTATCTTCTCCAAAATTAAAATTTTCTTTATCAAGTGATGGAGGTGGTTTAAATAAAACATTTTTGGTTTCTTTTATACGTACAGGTCTTAACATATTTTCAATTCTGGATGCCTGCCTTCCTAAAGATTGCATATATAAATTTGAATAGTTATTTTGTTCTATTACATATAGAATTAATTCAGCTTTACGTATTATTTCTCCTGTGGTCATTTTATATGGTGTAGCCTTTGTTTCTAATTTTAATTCTGGTTTTGATCCTTTTATAATAATACTTTTTTCAGGAGGGTGAATACTTGTCGTTGTATTTCCGTCAGTTGTTTCATATGAAGCATATTGGCTTTGTATTGTATTTATTTCAAAATTAGGAATATGTATTTTTCTTTCTCTACATATTTCTTTTAACCATACAAAAAATCCTTTGTTATATCGTTCTCTTTTCCGTGCCTTATTGTACTTTATATGAAATAATTCTACTAATCTCGGTTGAAAATGTTTTTTATACCAAGTTCTTATCTCCTTATTTTCTTCAGATAAGTAATCATGTTCTATAAATTGTTTGCTAAGTCTTTTTTCTTTTGTAAGAGTTAAGACTTGAAAATCCATTTCTGAGTCAGTTATTTCTGGTTCAGATTTTTTTATGGACCTATATTGTGGGATGATAATATTTTCTCTTGTCCTATATAGACTTTCTAATTTTGGATTTATAAAAGAAGTAGAACTTCTTGGTAATTCTATTATAGGTCTTGTAGATGATTTTATTTTAGAATCATCTTTACTGTTATTTCTTCTATTGTTGGTAAATTGAATTTCTATTTTACCATTAGGATTTTCTAGTATTCTTTCTGGAATATTGTTTATTTTATATATATATATATATATATATATATATATGCAATATAAGATATTTTATTATATATATTAAAAATAATAGATTTTATTGTAGTATAATATATTTTATGTATGTAATAGATATTTACAATGCAATGTATATTATATATTGTTTTATTTTTAATATAAAATACTATTTAATATATAATATTTAAATAAACATGACTTTATTTTTCAGCAGGTTGTTGAACACAGGTACTGAGAACATTCTTAAATAACTTCTTCTTCCCCGCAAAGAAGAACTTTTAGTTTCCGGAGGACATTTATCTTCCGGTTATCAAATAGACCTATAACGAATATGAAAAGACATTGTTTGCATGAAAAATGAATCTCCATATACCAAACCTAAGTGCCACGCATAGCTAATTCTTGAATGCCACGTGATACACAACTTTATACAAACCTCACCCAAACAAGAGTGCCACATCATATGGGGTGAGGTTTGTATAAGATTAGCACCTTAAACAATCAAGAGAGGTGGATTTCAAAATGATGCCGAAAGATGTTCAAGTATCACTATATTTTATTATGCAATTATGAAATTTAAAGTTTCAAAATTGGCATAGATTAAGCAGATTTACGAACGCTTGAAAATGGAAGATCCATATAATTCATTACAAAATACATTATTTCCAAGACTTAAAATCATTTATTTTTTTAGATCCACACATCCCGTGGTTGAGATGATCAATTGGAGGGTTTTTCGACATTAAAAAAGCCTTACTCTGTGAATTTTTGAGGTGCACGTTATTTTCTAGAGTAAAATGTTGATACCTTATATAAACTTTTCTTTTAAGGTTTTACCTGCTTGAATGTATGGTCTGGTGTGGTTTGCATAAGGTTGCAACCCTAAACCATCAAAGTAAGGTGCATCTCCAAATTTTATCATAAGATATAATTTTGGTATAAAAAAAATCTTATGATGGACTAATAATCTATTTTTAGCACGAACTATAAAATTTTAAACTCTAAAATGGTTCAAATCAAGTCTATATAATACATGAAAGTCTTGACAATGGACATATCAAATAATGTGCTACAAGATGTACTCGTTGTTGGACTTGAAATATTTTATTTTTCATTTTTATCATTTTCATACATCTCGATGTTGAGATGATAAATAAATTAAATGGTTTCCCAATACAAAAAACAACCCTTCCATAGATTTTTGAGGTGCTCCTTAATTCTACCTTTTAAAGTTGCAACTTTATATAAACTTTGTTTATACTATATTTACTGATTGTGTGAGGTTTGTATAAGGTGTTAATCTTATCCTATTGAAGTAGGGCTCACTTCAAAACTATGCTGAAAATACAAATTTGAAGATGCAAATCCTTGCAATGATATGAAAATCTATTGTTGTATCTAATTATGAAATTTAAAGTTTTATAAATAGTGACGATCAAATATATCTATAAGTATACAAAAATGTTGAAAATAGATAGTCCAAATGGGTTAAAGGGTGAACTATTATAAGGTAAGAAGGTGAACTATTATAAGGTAGACTTTTTTTTTTCGAAAATATCGACTATCGAAATGACACCGTACGTTTAGCCCAAACCGTACGACTCCCTTCTATGTGTAGACATTGTAAAAAATGTAAGGGTGGGTGTGGCTACTAAAAATGTAGTTAAAAACCTGGCCTCGTTTTCAATAAGGTCGCTTACTCTTCCCGCCCATTTTTGAAACCTGCAGAGAACCTCCACCCCTTGGGGCTTCTGCAAACCCTAACATCCTTTTTTCCCACTCTCTGCAAAATCAGGGTTTCTGCAAAACCCAAACCCTAACCATCCATGTGCAATTTGCTCTCTTCTTCTCATATGCTTCAATAAACCTCTTTCCTTCTCTCTGCTCAAATGAGTGCTCCCATGGAGTTATCCCCTCAAATTGGCTCTGAAGCCGAGGCTTCTACAGCTAATGGACCTTCGGAGTCTCTATCTTCTTCCCTTTCTTCCAATGAAAAGGTCTTGGTTTCTGGTAGGGACTTTCTTTCCTTAGCATCTCCGGTTTTGTCTTTTTATGGTTTTGCTTTTCATTTATGAAGTGATTTTCCAATGAATCGATATTTGTTTAAGCGTATTTTATTGAGGAGCAAATATTTCATGGAAATGATTTTTTTTTTGTGATTTGATTACAGTGGAGATTTGCTTAAACCCTTCAAGTGCGGCAAAAACAGAAGATGTTCGTGCTGCTGTTGAAAGGTATAAAAAATCACTCTTTATGAATTTTGGTTTTTTATTTTGTCATTTTTTACTATTCTATATGAATCATTCTGTACAAACAATTAAAGTCGAAATTGTAAAATTTTTGATACCTTATGAGTTAGGACTTGGGAATCACTGTTTTCATTTTTTTTTTCCATGTGTCTTGTTCATTCCTTGCTTTCCTAGTGTTATAAATAACAAGATAAGCTCAATTGATTAGTGATATGCCAAGCAGCTAAAGCTGCTGTGTATAATTTCGTAACTCATGTTGAGAAGGGAAAGCACACAATTACAAAGGGAAGAAATAACAATCTTTCCCAAGGATCAGGACAAACTAAGAAAGCAGCAGGCACTTTTTGGATTGCTTTCATTAAGCTCTTAGAACACATGTTCTGGCTTAGCATAGGGTTCCTTTGATCTCACAGGAAAAAAAAAAGGAAGATAACTAAGTTCTTCATTTGGATATCTATTGAAACTAGAAAACACGAGTAATTCTTCTTAGAAAACTAGTAAACTAAGTTGTTTTCTTAGCATAATGATTATTTAAAGCACAACCCCCAGCTAACACGTTTACACATGCAACAAGACAAAGGAGATGCAACCAACACTTTGAGGCGTTGACAAGTAGGTTTGATCTTTGTGAGGGGCTCAATAGCAGAAATGCTAGATAAAACCTTTTTAAGGAGTTATTAGATGGGAGCAATGAGCATATACTCATACTCAACATTCATTGGGGTGTTGCATGATGTACACAACATGACCCCATTTGGACGTCTTGGTAATCATCTCCAAGGGATATTATTCTAGTAAAAAATGGAGATTGATTTTGTTGTAGCAGTAACGATATTTACAACCTTTTGGACTCCATTGGGGTTTGAAACATTAAACTAGCCTGTGAATTTTGGCATGCCTCTCATTCTTTAATAATAATATTAATACCAGAGATAATGTCCCAATTTTTTTATCAAATGTCCAAGTGATGGAAAAAGAGTAATATCTTTTACATTTCCTCCCAGGTTATCGGTTTTTGGGGAAATGATGCAAAAAAAATGTCTTTAAGCGGTATGAAAGAACTATATCTCAAAGTCAAAAATCTGTATAATCATTGGGTTTCTACAAATGAACAAAAAAGGGATAAGGAAAGCCAGGAGTTCATAAATCAAATGGAAGCTCTATACAGGGGATGCATTGTTTTGGTTTTGCTCCAAAAAAGGGCCAGATTATGCAATGATAGGATGAAAAGGAATGCTTACCCAAAATGTATGATCCTTTTCAAACGGATCATACTGTAGAACAATAAAAAATTGTATTCAGATTCAATTACAAATCCAATCACTTTGACAGATAATTCAAGAGAAAAAGTTTGGATAAATGGGATCCACAGTCTCCTTTTCTTTAATTATTGGCGAGAACTTGAACATGAAATAGATAACAAGGAATCATTATCCAAAGGCATTAGCCCTTTGTGGATTTCTATCCATGAATTAGCAGAAAACAATAAGAAATCAGGAGTCGGTTTGAAACAACATGCTTTATAGACAGAACAATGAGAAAATTATTCAAAAAATAAAAATAAAGTTAAATGGTTAAAATTAAAATTGGATAAAATTCCTATATTTTTCTTCTGTTTAAAACCATGTGTAAAAGGAAGGGGGGGGGGGGGGGGTGGGGGGGTTCAGTGCAAGTGGTTTTTTTTATGGCATTATGAAATAGATGGTAATGGGCAAAGCTTGTTTCCTGCTTTAAATCTTTTTGATTTCTTTGAACATTCTTGTTGTTGCCTTTATTACTTGTATTTTGAGGTGGAATATATTCCTAATAAAAAAATGCTGATGGTAAATAGTAATGCCTTTTTTTTTTATATATATATTTTAATTTGTCATGTCTAACATATTAGATTTCCTACTTCCAAGTGTTGTTTCTTCAATTGATTTCTTCATGATCAGGATGCTTGAAAAGAGGAGTCTAAGCTACACTGATGGTCCAATTCCTGTACCTATGGATGATCTCTTTCTATCAGAAAATGTGCAAAGAATCTGTATCTGTGGCAAAGGTGAGACTGAGTTGGCATGGTCTTAAGTAACTACGATGTATGTAAGATATGTACTGCTGTTGCTTTCTTAAGTTATCTGTCTGTATTTTGAGTTTTGATTTCATCCCTGTATTGTCGTGCCCATCTCTTTGATTTAGATGATGGGGAGGACAATCGTGGAATTCTGTTATTTTGGCAGGTCCAACCAGTTGTGCATGTGTATCAGGTAAACTCTTTTACTGTTTTTACTTTTTTCATGGTGATGCACCTTTTTGGGGTTCCTTGTGATTTCCCAAAATAATACTTGTGTAGTAATTTGGTATGTGGAATTTAAATTTAGGTTGTTGTAGAAAGAAATAACCATATTTTGTACCGGCTAATATTTTCGTTGTGAGGATGGGCAGATTCTTTTCATTATATACATAACAAAAATGTGCTTTCTAAATGGGCTAATATTCCCTTTTGTTACAAGGTACACATTATACTCTAAAACTCTTCAACACTTCGACTTATTTGGTGTTCTTTTTCTTAACTTTAACAGCTAATTTATGATCCTTACTTGAGCATGCCTTCACTAGATATGTTGTGGATTTGAGTTTTCCATTCGTTGCCCACGCTAGTTGGTTTTTTGTTTTCTATTGTATTTTCTTAATATAATTGTATCATGATTCACAATCTCGCAGTGTGTGTCTTGGATGTAACAGCTTATTGAAGATGGGCCAGGAGAGGATATTAGTGGAGGTGATCTTTCTAGCTTTCGAGAATGGTTTCTTCCAGCAAGGGAATTTGATGGCTTGTGGGAAAGGTTTGTTTCTAATGATTCCTCTTTTGGAGTACTTCGACTTTATTTCTGTATTAACTATTCATCTAATATTTGTTCTTTGTAGCTTAGTTTATGAAACTGGTCTTAAGCAAAGGTTATTACGATACACAGCGAGTGCCCTACTTTTCACTGAGAAAGGGGTGAATCCATGCCTTGTATCATGGAACCGGTAAGCAAGTTACTTGGTAGGTTTTGGGGTTCTCCTTGTGGATCATTGAACATTTTTTACACCATCAGTGGAAGTGTCTTCTAAATTTGATAGAATTGGTATTGTTATTAAATAATCAGTTCACCAACAAGGTTTTGTCTCCCTCCCTTCCTCTTCTTTTTTATATAAGATATATGTAGGTTTTAAGTGTCTCATATTGCTTCGACTTTTTGGATTGTTGTGTGCTTGTAATCTCTAGGGTGTCAATACTATATCTCTATGATTTTTCTTGTTTACAGATGTGTACGCTGTCTGTTTGAGATCAAGTAATGCTTCTTCAATCAGTTTACATTTGAAAGAGACTTTCTGGAAATGTGATTCCTATTGAGAACTTAGTTTACTGAAAATTTGTGATTCATGTCGTCAACATGTTTTCACAAGTGGCTAGAATTTCAATGGACATATGAGCGTGTGAGAGCGTCCCACAGTTTCTACTGGAAACTGGTATTCTTTGTTCTTATTTGGAGCATAAGGATTTACTATGTTGCATGTGTGTTGCCCAGTACATATATGTTGCTGATTCCTGGAGGATGTATATGTTTGTGATTCAACTTGTTAGTAAATTATTTGTGCTTCTTATGTCGAGGAGGTTAATGGGTGAAGTTGATAAATTTTATTAGTTAACGAGTTGTTGTCAGTAGGCTCTGGCTGGCATCTTTCATGACAAGTTGTTTGAAGTACTTTGTATAATCTGCTACTATTTGTTCATGATTTTGATGCAAGACATGTAGGTAGAACAACAAATCAATGTATTGAGTGAATTGTCTGGCCTTGCCATTGTTGGGGCTTGTTCTCATACATATCTAGGCCTTTTTTAATTGAGTTGGTTACTGTTGTGTTTGTCAACTGCTTGTAATTTGATACTCGAGTTTTTGTATTCTGCAGATTTGTAAGTTGTAACATTCACTGGTTTAATCAATTTAGTTTGATTAGGCCAGTGTGGATTAATCATCAAACGTGGAACATAATTCTAGAGGAAGTGGGAAGTCAGTTTTACATTGGGAGTCCATTTGATGGGAAACATAATTAACAAACTCGTATGCTCCAGTATAAAGATTTGTAGGAAACACTTTCCACCATGCACAATGCACACATTTTGTATGCCTAACCTCAGATTTTTGCACATATCTCTTCTGGTTTGCTTGATTATCCTTGGGACTCATTCCCCTGTTTCTTTATGCATATTTCACCAAGTTTCTAATGCTTTCATGATGATCATCATAGATCTTTGTGGCATTATGAAGTCGCACATTTTCCATGAGTTTATCCTCGTTGGTTTCCTTCTGAATTTTGCCTAGTTTCCATTCTTGTAAGCCATCAATTTTTTGATAATGTTTTCCTTTTCGATTTCACTTTAGTTATTGTCTTGCCCATCAAAACATAAAGGGAAAAGTTTATATAGAGCCGAGGCTCTAAACAATCAAATTTGAGCCTACCTCAAAAATTTAACTAGAAGAGGTTGTTTTGATGCCCAAATATCCTAAGATTGATCATTTCGACATGAAGATGCATGAAAATGAGAAAAAAATGGATATCAAGTTTTGGAAATAGTGTATTTTGATCTACACTGTTTTTGAAGCCTTAAACTTTATAAATAAAGAGGAAAATATATTTTAAACCTATTACAAATATTCTCAGTATTGAAACTACATTTCTCGGCACTATTTGAAGGTAGGCTCTAATTTGATTGTTTAGAGCCTAGGCTCTATACAAACCGCACCCAAACATAAAAGATGTTTTTCTTTTTCTTCTTTGAAATGGTAATCGTATTTTCTCTTTGTTATCTTGTTTTATTGGCACCGTAGTTATTTCTAACTATAATTTTGTTGCTGTGTTTTGCAGCATCATTCTCTTACATGGACCTCCGGGGACCGGAAAAACATCTTTATGCAAAGCTCTTGCACAAAAGCTTTCTATACGTCTAAACAATAGGTCTGTAGGAGGTATATTTTCTTTTTTTTGCGCAAATATGAAACCTATGGGTACATATAGATGGGAAGTGCACTGAATATTCAACAATTGATTTGTTGTTGATGATACTTGGTGCACCATCAGATACTCTCAATCACAATTGGTGGAGATCAATGCTCATTCTTTGTTCAGTAAATGGTTCTCTGAAAGTGGCAAACTGGTATGCTATATCTTACTAAAAGTTTCCTATTCTGTTAGCTATCCTTTTTTTTTCCTTCTCTGATTCGTGCTATTCTTTTCTAAGAAGAACCTATTGCCACTTGTATTTCTGTGAAATTGTTTTATGTTAAAATTGACTAATAATTCTTCATCATGTTGTCCTAAAAATTACTTGCTATGCTGGATTTCGAATTGGAAAGTTCATGCCTAGTGTCTACAGTTGATCTTGTCTTTCATTAGGGTTATTGAAGAATGTCTAAGATCATGAATAGTGGATTTCACAATGGGAATATTCGGGATTTCTTGTGTGAGATTTGGAGAAAAGAAACTGCAATGTGTTGTGCAGAATAAGAACTTGAGAATTAATTCACCTTTCTTCTTGGCCATATTGAGTCACTATAGTATCTTGTGGGGCCCTAGTTGGTGTGTTTGATTGTCTAACATGATATAGATGTAATAGTGGAAAAGATGGAGCTTTTGTAGTTTTGCTTCAAATCATTTCTTTTGAGCAAATTAGTTTTACACAACTCTGCGTATCAGATATGGTTATGACTAAATAAAAAATATCCTTGAAAAAGTTACATGATGACATTTACGAACTAAACAATATCTAAGTGTGGCGCCAGGATGGGCTCAGGGCCTAAGTGGTCAAGGTGGTGCTGTGCCACAAGGTGATCTCTTGAGTTCTATTCCTACTAGGCCTAAGATAACATTCTAAGAAAAAAAAAATAGAGGAAAAAATTTTATGCATAGGGCATGATTTAGAATAATATGATCACAAATTGATGTTGTGAACGTGACTTGGAATTTGTAAAGATGTCCACCAGTATTCAAAAAGTCGGTCCCCCAACTGCCTATGCGGCCGCCTAGGCGGCTATTTTTAAAAAACACCTAGGCATTCTGAAGGCGGGGCTAATTAGGCGCTAGAACTAGGTGGCCGCCTAGGCGGTCGGGCGGCCGATTAGGTTGTCAATAAGGCGGCACTAGGCGCTCGCCTAGGTGGCATGCAGGGCCTTGACGAATTTTTTTTTTCTGGTGGGGACAAAAAGGGACATTTTTACCCCTTTAAAAGGGTCATTCTTGCCCCCCAAAACAAATTTAGTGAACTTAGAAAGATTTTTTGAGAGATCAATTTTTTTTTTTTTGAAATCCTTGAATGGTCACGATATTAAAGGATATTCAACCCTAATCTTTTTGAGGCTTATAGGGGTTGTAAAATAGGAGATTTGTGATCCCAAACATTTTGGTTTGGCCCGAAATTCCAGAAGCTTTGATATGTGTTTCCGGCAACATACAATGTATTACATACAAAACTTACTTATTAAATAATAAAACAGACAATTTATATATCATAAACTGGGGGGGGGGGGGGGTGTGGGGGATCCAAATTTTTTTTTTTATAAGAAATCACTGGTTTTTTGGGTCTACGCGCCCGCCTAGACGACCTCCTTATCGCCTAGGTGGCCCAGACCCGTCACCGCCTAGGTGGCCCCCTCCATCTTATTGAATATTGATGTCCACTACTGATGCCCATTGGTGATGTTGATAGAGTGAGCTGTGTCTTCAACTTGATCATATTGTAGGTTTCACAATATTTGAAAATGAACATAAATGGTTTTGAGATGCTCCTTTTGTTTGCATTAGCCAACCAGTTATGTGTGCATCAACATTGAAAACCTTAAAGGGAAGAGCTAGCATAATTTGCATTAAATGATGTAAAAAACTTCATGAAATAACTGCTGGAATCACTTTGTCAGTGGTTTCATTTGCATCTTGTGTGCCGTATCGTTCTTCTCCATCGACATTGATTTAAATTCAATGCTTATCCTTGGCAGTAGGGCAGAGTGTACCATGTAAACAAAAATATGTTCCTTTCGGAATGAATCTATCTCTCTTTCTGTCTCTCTCTCTCTCTCTCTCTCTTTAACTCACTTTGGCTTATTCAGCAGAAGGATTTGAGTTTGGGACATGGTATTCTCTCTTGCGTTAACTCTGGCCTATTCTTTCTCTCTTTTTCTTTTCAATTTTAACGTAATTCTATTTTTTGGTGCATGGCCATCTATTTCTGAACTAGTGGGTATAGTTTTCCTGAATTTACTACCATGTTCAACTTTAATTTTTAATGGGTTTGTGAACGTGGACATGAATAAATAAATTTTTTACAAAATATTCACATTTTATTGGAGTCTCGTCTTTTGTTTCAACTAGGTGGGGAAACTTTTTGAAAAGATCCAAGAGATGGTGGATGAGGAAAGCAACTTGGTGTTCGTTTTAATAGGTGGGCTTGCTATTTTATTGTTTTCTCAGTTTACTTCCTCTTGTTTTAAATGTAGGTATATTGTTCAACTTCCCCTGATGTAGTTTGTAATTTGTTCATTTTGATTAGAATATTGAATGTGTGGGTGTTCATTTATTTGCTCAACAATTGCTTCTTTTGTAATGTGCTTATGTAATATTTGAGGTTTTTGGAGTACTTTTATTTGGCTTAACTTAATACTATTGTGTTATGAAGAGCCCTATTTCATGAGAACTATTAGGAAGAAGCGGTAATAAATGAATGGCGAGTTTTATTACTTGGATTTCATACTATGTAATGTTATAGCAGCTTGACATAAATTAAAAAGCAACTATAATCAAGTTTTGTATCGAGTGACACCGTGATACATTTCGAGTTGGTTATAGCTTCATGAATAACTTCATAATAAGCTCAAAGACATGATAAGAATATATTTCAATGATGTTCAGCATGATCACTCTTTATAGATGCAGTACTCGTTGGAGACTACTATTTTTTTAGTTTAATTGGTAACGAGTATTTTGGTCAATATGAATGGACTCAAGGCAAGGTGGCCAGGCTGATGGGTTGTCATAACATGACATCTGGAGTTATATGAACAGTACATTGAACTATACTGTCAACAATGCCGTAGACAATATTGTGAATAGTGCCTTGAACAGTAAAAACTAGAGAGAGAGAGAGAGGGAAAAGAAGAGGAACAGAAAGGGAAGAGAGAAAAGATGAAAGAGAAGAGGGAGAGGCGCGTGGATTGACCGCCCAGCCCACATGCACCACTTAAACATTATTTATAATAATTGGCAGGGGTGGCAACGGGTTGGGTTGGGTCGGGCTTAGGTCTTGTGCCAGACCTAGACCAAGACCCGAAAAAAATTTGTGGGACCCAGTGGATCCTATCGAACGCGAAGTTATCAGACCCGGGATTGGACCCAGACACAACCAAAAAATAAAAAAGTATAATACTTAAAAATATTTAAATATTGTGTTAAATATATTAAAGTATTATTTATTTATTACAAATAAAATATATAGTTATGTTTATTTAAATATTAGTTAATACTATATATTGAATATTATTCAATTATTAATACTATTCGGGTTGGGTCTACATGGACCCATACCTGAACTTGAACAATGTTCGGGTTCAAATTTGGGACCCAAACTCAACCTGCCGAGTCCAATTTTTTGATCCAGAGGTTGGGTTGGGTCATCGGGTCTTGGTTTAAGTTTGGGTCCATTGCCACCTCAAATAACTGGATGATAATATTACATAAATACCTTTTAAGTACTTTAGTAAAACCTAATGTCCTAAAGTTTATAAAAGGGAAAGAGATACCCCATATTATATTCAACACTCATAACTGCATAATAATGTAATCTTTAACACTCCCCCTCACGCTGGAGCATTAATATCACCTATGCCCAGTGTTTCAAAAAGCGCTAGGCAGGTCCTAGGCAGATTGGGGAGTCCAGGCCGCCCAGTGCCTAGGTGGGCGGCTAGAACTTGGGCGACCCAGTTGAATCTAACTTAAGGATTCTGCAGTTATTTGAGTATCAGATTATCAGTTTTAAGTTGCTATTGAAAACCTAATATCTATGGTTCATATATTATTTATAAAATTATACAAATTACCCTTATGAAACTATGAACCAACCACTTAAAATTTTCACTCACACACAGTCATAATCCATATCCAATTAAAACTTAAAATATTCCAACCAACCAAATTATAAAACTATGTAAGTAATACTTGAAGACTTAAAAGAATCTTCAATAGTTCAAATGTTCGATACACAATACTTCAATCAAAGTTCAAACTTCAAAGTAACAAAGTTTAATAATTATTCAACAATCAACATTCATTCATCATCAGAAAATCTTGGGTCAGCTGCATTGGCATCATATTCATCGGAGTCGACGGAGTCGTCACCCTCCTCGACATATTGCGACTCGTCTTCCTCCATCTTTTGTGAATCTGCCTATTCTTCCTCCTCTTCCTCCACCCTTGTTCTCTGTGCAGAAGCTCTAGTAGCCCTAGGAGGGTTAGTTGATGTCCCTGAAGCATCCATAACCATGTCCTATGTCAATCCTTTATCCCCCTCAACCTCATCATCATCAACTAACCACTCCATAGCATTGTCCATATTTTTTGATATGATGGGGTCTCTATTATCTCTCTTAGCAAATATATCCTTTAAGAATTGATTGTACTCGACATAGACAAGGTCATTGAGCTTGTTTGATTCAAACCTGTTCTTTTTTTTTGTATGAACCTAACAACATCAAATGGAAGTGAACTAATTAAAATGTAATATCTATGGTTCATGTATTATCTATAAAATTATACAAATTACCCTTATGGCCTTACCCCTTCAAAAATACTCCAATTGTGCTCACAATCGGATGAAGAAGTGGTTAGGTTTAAGATCCGAATGACAACGTTTGTAAATTTGGAGAACTACGCCCATGTTGGCTCCACCAATGGGCTACAAAGAAATAAAAAAAATTATAAATACATAATAGAAATACTTGATTACTTGAACAATTGAACTTTATGAAGATGAACTTAAGAATATTATTAATATAATAATATTCAATATCTGGATTAATTTTGGTCCTTTGCCTCATCGCCATTGGACTCCCAAAAGACTTTAATGTGCACTTGTAATTTATTAGCTCATCAGCGCATATAATATCCTTCATATCAAGAACAGGGACTAGGACCTCTATAAATCCACTCATTAAATCCATTCATAGTTATGTCATTTGTTTGTATATCTTTGTCAATATAAAAAAAAGCTTTGTTCTAATAATAACCAGCTGCATGCAATGGGCGACGTAGCTGCCGATCCCACTTCTCATCGATAATCTCCCAAACAGGCTTGTAGTGAGGGTCTTTATCATTGAAATTTTGGGCTATCTCTCTTTGGTATTTCTCCATAGCATCATATATATAGCCAATAGAAGGCTTGTCACTATCAACCATGCAAAGGACTCTGATAAGAGGAAAAATACCTTAAGAGCATCCTTCACCCCTCGCCAAAAAACCTTAGAAAGTATAATATCTCTTACCTTCTTCTGATAGTGTTGATCTTCCGATAGCACTTTGTAAGGTCATCAATCTTATACTAAACATCCAATTGTTCATTTTGTTACATTTAGGAAAATGTCCTCTTCTTATAATAATTTTGCCTTAGCTCTTTCCTCCATCTTTGTACCCAAGTCCTATAAGGAAGCTCTTTCACATATTGGATGAAGGAAACTAATGGATGAGCAAATGACTGCACTTCAATTAATGGCATGTGGGAGCTTACTGATCTACCGACAGGAAAGAGATATCGTTGGGTGTGCGCATTTAAATATAAGCCAGATGGATCTATGGAGAGGTTGAAAGCTAGGCTAGTGGCCAAGGGGTATACACAAACCTTTGGTATTGACTATTATGAGACGTTTGCATCAATAGCCAAACTTAATTTGATCCAAGTTCTCCTATCTGTAGCAGCAAACAATGGGTGGAAACTTGATGTTAAGAACGCCTTCATTCATAGTGATCAACCTCAAGAGGTGTATATGAAGCTACCACTAAGGTTTGTTGTTCAGGTGGAGTCAGACAAAGTATGTAAGTTGAGGAAAGCAAATTATAGACTGAAACAGTCCCCGCGTGCATGGTTTGAGAAGTTTAGCGTAATTGTTATGGTATATAGATTTCGAAGCAGTCACGTGGATAATTCAGTAGTTATTTAGAAATAATCCACTGGAATTATTATCTTGGTGGTTTATGCTGATGATATCATTATTACATGGAGTGATTAAGAAGGAATTAATAAATTGAAGGGTTATCTGTGACGGTAAATTCAGACAAAAAATTTGGGATGGCTGAGGTATTTTCTTGGAATTGAGGCAGCCAGATCTCAGTATGGTATCAGTTTGTCTCATAGGAAATATGTAACAAATTTGTTGACAGAAATGGGATGTTGGGTGCTAAGCCAATTGATACACCTATAGATCCAAGTATTAAACTTTGAAAGGATCATAGAGATTTATTTGAAGACCATGGCTGATACAAAAGGCTTGTAGGAAAACTTATCTATCTAGTAATCACTTGGCCAAAAGTAGCATTCACTGTGAGTGTAGTGAGTTAGTTTATGCATTCTCCCAGAACACCACGTTGGGAAGCAATACGAAGGATTTTAAGATATTTGAAGGGGGCTCCAAGTCAAGGACTCATCTACAGGAAGAATGGCCATTTAAGTAATAACAACTATTCAGATGTTGATTGGACAGGATCTTAATCAAACAAACGATCTACTACAAACTATTATACCTTTGTTGGAGGAAATTTGGTGACCTAGAAAAGCAAGAAACAAAGTGTGGTAACAGGGTCTAGTGCGGAAGCTGAGTATTGAGCAATGGCTCACACTACATGTGAGCTAATGTGATTGAAACCCTTGATGAAGGAAATAGGATAGTTGATTACTGAGCTGAGGAAGATGTTCTGCGACAATCATGCCATACATATTGCTAGCAACCAAGTCTTTCATGAGAGAACAAAACATATCGAAGTTAGTTGCGATTTTATTCGGGAGAAAGTGATAAGTAAGCAAATAAAAACTACATATTTGAAGTCGAAGGATCAATTGGCTGATATATTTACTAAGGCTCTAGGTCGTACCTAACTCGACAGATTTTTTTCAAAGCTAGGCATAGGCAGTGATTCAAAAAGCGGACTGCTCAGCACTTAGGCGACCCACCTAGGCAGTTCGAACGGCCTGGGACCATCGCCTAGGCTTAGGCGGCCAATTTGAGAGGTCAATCCTTGGGCGGTCTCCCAGGGGCGGAAAAAAAAAATAGTGAGGGCATTTTACATCATTCTTTGTTTTGTTTTTAAGGCCCAAAAATTAGGCTTTTAGGTTCATTTGAAACCTAAACCTTGTTTGAGCCAACTTTAGAGAGAGAAAACCACCAAAAAACTAGATTTTGG